CCGCAGCTGCGCAAGCCAGCTGTGAGCTGGACATCTGGCGCCCATCAGTCAGCTGAGTGGCACTCCCGCTGTGGGAGCGCACTGACCACCTGGGGGCAGCTCCTGTGTTGAGCGTCTTCCCCCTGGTGGTCAGTGTGCGTCATAGCGACCGGTCAAACGGTTGTTCAGTAGCTTAGGCTTTTATATAGAGAGATATAAATATACTTGCTTTCTAAGAAATTAAATTTGTATTTTTAAGTCAAATTTTTTCAAATGCCCTATTATAATTATTAGGTCTCTTTAAATGCTGCTAACTATAGTAATAGCAAGAGAATTTTTTATCCATTCTGCTTAGTTCCTTTAGCCTCTCTCAATAAGCTAATTACTAAATATTTAATGACAGCCTGTTTGTGCTAAGTACTATGTTAGGTGTTGAATATACAATAGTCAACAAAACCATTGTACTTGTAATTAATGGAGAAACATATTGTCAAAAATTTTTTTAAATAAAATTTAAAAAACACAGATCAATATATAGGAGCAATTAAGCTGATTAACATTGTTAAGCTGATTAACAATATATAGGAGCAAGTCTCTCAACAGAAAAGACTTTCCCAAGAAGGGCTGTCTGTAGTGAGATCTGGAAGATGCCTCAATCTATTCAAGCTTGGGGTCGTGGAGTGTCCAACAGAGGAAACAACATATGACATGGAGTTAGTAATCTTGTCTTATTTAAGAAACAATGAAAGGCCAGTGTTTGCACAATGGAGACATTAGGAAGGGGAATGAGGCTGTCCCCCTGCTCCAAGTACTACAGGTCCAACGCTGCATGAAAAGAGACAATCAAGGGACTCTTCCCCCTCCCTACATGGGAGTCTGTGCTGTGGGACTCTCCCCTGCCCACGCGGGCGTCTGTCTGTGCTCGTTTATCAATAAATGTCTACCTTTGCTATCAAAAAAAGAAAAAAGAAAAAGACAAACAAGAGAAAAGAAGTAATTTGTTAAACTGCCGAAATGCTTAATTAACTCAAAGGTATTATATGGTAGGTTGCTATCAACCTCTCAGCCTCATTCGGCATCACTTCCCTTCTTAATGTCCCTCTTGTCCATACCCTGCATGCATGTGTGTATGAAATAAACTTCTACTCTAAGATAGTGCAATTCTTGGGAAAGAGAGAACGAGAGAGAGGGGTATCTATCGATTGCCTCCCACATGTGCCCCAACCGACTGGGGATTGAACCTGCGACCAAGGAATATGCCGATTGACCTTTCAGTGTAGTAATGACGCTCCTACCAATTGAGCTACAATGTGTGTTTTTATGAAATGTCTAATTAGGTTATCAAATGTCTAAATGGAAACTTTAAAGGCTGTAGAGAGATTAATCAAAAAGCACCACAGGCCCAGGATGCAACTGGTAGTACCAAAGCCTTATCTGAGAGAACACTGGCAGAAAGAAATGTGGACAGTTTGCAAATGTTTGGTGACAGCTGACTGGTACTTTAGCATTAAGAATTCCTGAGAAAACACTGAAAGAGCTACAGATCCTTCCTCTACCTCTTCACCTAAGGGCTGGGCACCTAGGAATGCAGGTGATCAATGGGAGCATCTAAACAAGAATACAAAAGAAGTAAATGAGTGTAACTTGTCAGGCACATTTTTAAAAAAGTTTAAATCGCCGAAACCGGTTTAGCTCAGTGGATAGAGCGTCAGCCTGCGGACTGAAAGGTCCCAGGTTTGATTCCGGTCAAGGGCATGTACCTGGGTTGCGGGCACATCCCCAGTAGGAGATGTGCAGGAGGCAGCTGATCGATATTTCTCTCTCATCGATGTTTCTAGCTCTCTATCTCTCTCCCTTCCTCTCTGTAAAAAATTAATAAAATATATTAAAAAAAAAGTTTAAATCTATAATTTATATCAATTCTCTCTGGTCTTAGAGTAATCTCCAATTAAATAGTAATAAAAAGTCTAATAAGTAAAGTCCTGTACACCCTTAAAAATGACAGAATAATTCCTATTTAGTCAACAGATTAACGAGAATGAAATTTTCTAACTGTAAATGTAGCTATTTCTAAAAGGGTCAAATAATTTCAAAGCTGTGGATTCTATTTTGTGAGGGCAAAGAAACAATAGCAGCATGTAACTGGGTGCTCCAGGTGCTCTTGACACGTACATTCAGGTACCTCAGGGAAATACCTGTGCTGGGTTAAAACACAAACCTGGAAATTTGCCACAAAAGAAAGTCCTAAACAACTCAGCAATCCAAGTACGAAGCCAGCCTTGTTTAACTTGGAGATGTATTTCCCTTCGGGATTCAGAGCCTGAACTTGCTTATAACGAACATAAATGGTAGCAACGCCTGGGAAAGAGAAAATCCAAAAAACAAGTAATAAATAACCAAGAAATAAAGTTGCCAATAAAGAGTTCACGAAGGTCACTGCTATCCAGAAACAGAGATTTTCCTTTTTTTCTTATTAGTCAAGAAAGGGCTAAATCAAACTTTCCCTTGCAAAAACATTGCCAAAGAACACGCAAGTACAGAAAACGTAGCAGAGCTATGCTTTTGTAGATACGTGCTTGAAAGCTTCAGTCATACACTGAAACATTTACTTGACTTTAATTTTTGACTTCTTATAAAAGAATGCAAATAGTCACAATTGGTGGAAAAAGCAATACTCTAGCAAACCATTAATAACAATTTGGTTTAAAAAACAAGTGATTAATAGGAATGTAAAATTTTGTAGCAGAGCTCCATTCCTTTGGCATTAGAATATCGTTCAAAAATCAAACCATGCTATCCTCAAACTTCGAAATTACTTACCCTGAAGGGATGTAGTTGGTGTTAGTTGTGGTCAGTGTGTTGACGGCTCTTTGCCCTCTACTGGTTGCTTAAGAAATCCACTTAAGGCCTCAAGGAACATTTGGTAATACTTTACAACTTATATTTGAATGAGTAGTCAAGTAGCTCTATACGTTTTTTTAAAGATATATTCCCATAATTCAGCATTTCTAGAAATTGCTTTTCTTTTAAAAGGAACATATCTCTGATCAATAATTTAGTGAGAACATTCCCTCAAGTACAGTAATTAAAAAGTAAAACAAGTAACACAATATTGTCTAAAGGTGAAAGGGGTGATTTGGCTATTAATTTTCATCATTAAGATCATTCTCATTACTTACATAAAACTGCGGCGAAATTTAACATTGCCCCAAACAGGCACTTTTCTGGAGCGATGGTACCAGTGTCACTGAAAGAAAAAAATGGTGTGGATTTCTAACACTGAATTTACACATGTATTTCTTCTAAGGGATAAGAAACAACAGGGGTTACTTCAAGTCCTTTATCTTTGCATAAATCTATGGGTTCAACTCTTATAATTGCATAAGGACAAGACAATTTGAGCTCACAATATTTGCCTAGTTCACTTTTTGTCCTATCACTTAGATTATTTTTTCACATACTAGAAATCAATGTAAATTAATGAAAAAGCATGTTAAGGATGTTGTTACTGACTTACATCTATCAGGCAGTATGTTCATCTGTCTCTGAATATTCTCTAACATCACAGATCCTTTCAAAAAATGTCTTTTGTTATTACGTTCTTTTTTATTTTTTAAATATATTTTATTGATTTCTCACAGAGAGGAAGGGAGAGAGATAGAGAGTTAGAAACATCGATGAGAGAGAAATATCGATCAGCTGCCTCCTGCACATCTCCTACTGGGGATGTGCCCGCAACCCAGGTACATGCCCCTGACTGGAATCGAACCTGGAACCTTTCAGTCCGCAGGCTGACGCTCTATCCACTGAGCCAAACCGGTTTTGGCTATTACATTCTTTAAAAAAAAAAAAAAAATTATGTGCTTATTGATTTCAGAGAATCAAAGGGGGAGGGAGAGATAGAAACATCAATGATGAGAGAGAATCATTAATCAGCCACCTCCTGCATGCCCCCTACTGGGGAACGAGCCTGCAACTTGGGCATGTGCCCTGACTGGGAATCAAACTCTGACCTCCTGGTTCATAGGTCAACACTCAACTACTGAGCCACACTGGCTGGGTTATTATTGCTCTTGACTCTGCCTATAACTCAATTTATAGCTAATCATTTCATGATTAATCAAAAAAATATTTATCAAGAACCTACCCTGTGCCACACAGCGTTTTAGGGACAGAAATATGGTGGTAAGTAAAGGAGACAAAGCCACTGGCTTCCTGGAGCTTCCATTCCAGACCAGTTTTGAGCCCCCACCTCCCTATGGCCGTGACCAATCTTCTAGCAGAACGCTGACTCACAGCATTCCGTCCAGACCTCTATCACCACCAGCTGCCACATGCACTGCAATGCCCATCGGTCAGGGCAGTGTGGTGTACACGGACCCAGATGAACTGCCACCATGTACTAACTGTGGAACCGTGGGCGTGTTCCTCTGTCTCCCTAAGTCAGACTATCTGCGAAATGGAGCTATTACCCTCCTTCCTGCCTCACCGGATGGCCACGAGGAACTGAAAGTTGGGTAGTGCATGTGAAGTATCTACCAGAGTAGCAGGCACAGAGGAGACCCATTAAATGTTACTCCCCCCCCAAATACTCTAAAGATTAAAGAGACAAACTCTTTGTTCTCAAATTGAAGTATGTAGAAAAGAGAATAGAGATCTCAACTAAAACAATGTAATGGGAATAAAAAAGGAATGGAGCCTGGCAGGTGTGGCTCAATGGTTGAGTAACAAACCCATGAACCAGGAAGTTAGGGTTTGTTTCAGGTCAGGGCACATGCCCTGGTTGTGGGCTCAACCCCAACAGGGGGCGTGCAAGAGGCAGCCGACTGGTGATTCTTTCTCATTACTGAAGTTTCTATCTCTCCCTCTCGCTTCCTCTCTGAAATCAGTAAAAACATATTTTTAAAAAGTACTATTCTAAAAAAGGAGATGAAAAAGGAATGGAGTCATTTCTGGTAAGGAATCAGGAAGACTCGGTGAGCATCTGGATTACGTTTACAAAAAGTAACGTATCCAATATGAATCGGAAGGCCTGCTCCTTCCTACTCTAAAACGCATCTTCAGATACAAAAGCTTCTGTTCCTCTCTGATCACCATCAGGGAGTGGGGACCATGTTTTTCTGTTGCTGTTGTCCCTTCTACCTTTCAAGTTTTCAAGAATAATGTATACATATCATTCTTATAATCAGAAAAAATACACACAATTTTAAGTTGAGTTCCAAATGATGCTCTTGTTTTGGATTACCCCAAAAGTAACCCAAAGCATCCATGTCCAAGCCGCTGGCTGCGCGGGCTCCTTCCCTGGCCCTGCAACACGCTGACACACACTGGCCTCCAAATGAAAAGAGCCCTGCCCATCGCCTCGGCAGCAGGCCCTTCAGCCCAGCGGTCTGCACGCCATTTTGATTACACACCATTAAAAAAGTGTAACCATGTAACTTCAAAATATATGTATTATTATTACACATATATTACAGTTCAGCTTAAATATTTTGAGATTTCTAAAATATGCATAGAAGTTCTAATAGTTTCTTCTTGGATCCCAGTGGCTAGTCTCATGGACACCACTTGGGCCACCACAACTTGAACCTAGACAGCATCTGAACCAGCTTGTAAACTGTCTTTGAAGTGAACTTTACTTTCGGTTATGCCCTTTGCTGCTGTAACAACTAGGCCTTTTAGTTAGGGTTTATGAACAGAAAGGAACTAGTTTAACAATCATTTTTCAAATGAAAGGAAAGGAGCTTAAGGGAAGTCAAAATAAGTACCATCGAGTTTAAATATGTCATAATGTTGGGAAAAGATCCTAGGGCAATATACAACGTTCGTTAGCAGAAAAGGGAAAAGACAGAAGGGCAGGGACAGGAAAGGAAGTGCCCAGGGAACTCTGGGTCCGGAAATCACATGCCGGACCATCAGAGAACTGAAACCGAGAAAGAACTCAAGTGGCCTCTAACTTACTTAAAGCTCTTTCAAATGAAAGCAGACAAGTTCTCAAAGAGGACATAAAAACACTAAAGGACCCGAATAAATCCTATACGTGTGTCTTCTCTTGAAGTTACTAAAGTGTGAACTGCCTCCTTAAACCAGCGGTCACCCAACCTTTCGGACCTCGAGGACCACTGGTTGGCGACCACTGCCTTAAACTACACGTGCCCCTAGCAGAGTAGTAAACATTGGTGACGATCAGATTCCTAGAACTGGAACCTTAAATAAAAAATATCTTTTTGTTTTATACATCTTCCCCAAGTGCACCCAATTTGTTGATATTCTTTGGGTCATACCATTTATAAAAAAATACATTTAGCCTTTCAGTTTATCATCCTTTAAAAGGTTAGTTTTTTAGAAGGTAAACAAATTAATAAATGAAACAACTCCAACACCAAATACGCCAAAGTCTGGAAGGCAATCCACCAAACCCATTAATCACATGTGTGGAGGCAGGAACTAAAGGGAGGTTAGAAGAGGGAGGTCACATCACCTTTATAATTGAAAAGAAGGGTTATGGACATACAAGAAATTGAGTACTTCATTAGCAATTTTGAAATTTCAAAAATATTTGCGATGAATGTTGATACTTCATGTGCCAGAAAGATCTAGGCAACATGTCCTGAGAAGTAAGCGCATGGCCTCCAGAGTCAAACTGCCCAGTGAAATTGATTCTTGGTTCCATCATTTACTGCCTTGTGCCTCTGGACAGGAACTTGACCTTCCTGGACCCCATTTCCTCACGTGGGGGTCGCAGTTCCCACCTCAAAGGGTGGCTGTAAGGACCCAATTATTTAAGACTGAAGGATGCTTATGACATTACCTTGCACATAAGTAGATCAACAAATGTTTGTCATTACTATGATCTTTCAATATTATTATTGTTGTCTGCAGCTTTTTTTTTTTTTTAAGAGGTGAGTAACTCCAATTCTATCTCCTGAGACAACATCCAATACTGATTTGGAGAAGAAGGCACTGAAGTGTCACAATTCACTAAGCAAGTCCCAAATGAACCTTAGCCCTCTGTCTCCACATTTCTCCATCACACAGAAGGAACCAAGAATCCTTCCCTGTTATGTTCCTCTTGTCGTTGTAAAGCCAAACGTAACATTTGAATTTCAAAATGCTAACGTTGCCTCTTGGCTTCGATGTTAAAATATGAATGAGAAATAACCTGTAGGATACATTTCACTGACCTGATGTAAGGCAACGCAGGGTCAACATGGTGGAGAATGATGGCAGTAATGTACGAAAATATGAAAGCAGCGGCCGTCCAAATGACCAGGGCGGAGGGCAGGAAACTGAGGCCTTGCTGAAACCACCACATCTCAGACAGGTCTTCTGAAGCAGAAACCAGGCCAGACGAGATCATCCACACGTAGTTCATCTTTTCTGCTTTAGCCGTCCACTCCCCAACCTTGGACTTAGCACCCTGAGCTGGTCCACTTCTGAAACCATCACCCTCACCGCCTACTAACACCTGCTCTCCTTCGACTTCTCAGGAAATGAAACCAAGATTCTCCCACTCAGATCCAGGCTCCTTTCCCGCCCATCCTTCCACACAACATCGAGTACCAAGTGCCGCTTATTCCACCTCCGAAAGGTCCTTAAAATCTAGCTCTCCGCTCCATCTGCACTGCACTGCCCCACTGAAACCACCCTCATCTCTTGGCCAGCTTATTATTATAACCTACTGACTGGTCCTCTCTAGACTGGACTACAACCAATCTAGACTCCACCCTAAAGCCGGGGTGACCCTTCTAACACCAACCTGAGCACCTTCTCCCCCCAGCGAGTCTTTCAGGTCTCCCCTTTGCCCTTATAAACACCCCCTCCTCCTGAGCATGGTCTGTGAGGCACTTGCACTGCCTGGTCTCTATTTACTTTTTATATTCCTCTCTGGCCACTCTCTTTGCTCCCAGTTTCTTGCTCATCACCTTCATCATCATGACCAAAGCAAACACAGTGTTTACTCTGTGTCAGCAATGTTATGAAGCACTTTCCATTAAGACATGATCTCACTGACTCCTCACAGCAGACTTATTGAGGTTAAGAGAACTGCCCAAGGTCAGGGGGAGGTAGAGGCAGGAGTCAAACTCAGGCAGTTCCATTCTGCCACCAATCGCTGTGCTGTACGCCACCGCAAACTGCTTTCAGATCTTCGAATGTGGCATGCTCCCTCGGGCCCCTCAGACCTTCATGCGCACGGTACTGTCTGGATGAGTGGACTCCAGTGCTCTCCCCGCTCCCTCCCACTACCACCAGTCAACACCTACTCACCCATCTTCAAGTCTCGACTCCAGTCCTTCAGCTGTGTCCTGTCTTGTTCCCAACAGTACTTTACACACCCCCCGCCCTGCTCCCAAAGGACACTCACACCACTTACCTGTTACTTGCTTGTTTGGTTTTATCTTCCTCACTAAACCTTAAGTTCTGTGAGAGCAGGAACCAGCTGTTTTGTTCACCATTATATTTTCAGCTCCTACATGACAGGGGGGTGGGGGGGGGGCGGGGAAAAAAGAGAGAACCTACATATACAAAGACCACACATCACCACTTTCTCCCTTACCTTCCAGGCTGAGGATGCTGGTAAATAATAATGAGTCAATAATGTGAATCAGAAAACATGACTGTCTCTTCTTGCATTTAATTTAAAAAAATAAATACATAAGTACTTTCAAATTATAAGAAATGACTCATATGCATGTGAAAGTAACTGCATGTTTGGAGGAGTAGCTTCTTATAGTAGCTTCCCATGAACTTTGCAAAAAGTTACAACTCTTCTCTCCACCCATCCTCCAATGTGCTCAGCTTTCTCATCTCAGACTTTCCAAATAATGAAATCTCAGCTATTTTTGACTTGTACTTGTCACTTACTCTGTCATCTGACTTATTGCTAAATACATGTATTTAAATCTTGCCCAGTAAGTTTCTTTTCCTTTGTTCCTAAAGCTACCATTATAGACTTGAGTAATTTCCTGTCTGAATTACCATAATCTCCTCCTTTCCTGTCCTTTTCCATTGTCAGTCCTTACCACTCCCACCAATTTTCTTCATCTATTCAGTTAATCATGACAATTCCTCCCTAAATTCCCCAACATAAGTTTCTGGGACAATAATTCTCAATTTCTATAAATTTTGAACTACGGTACTTCTAAAATCTTTCACTTTTCTCCTTCTATCTCTTTAATGTTATTTGAATTTGTTTCTGATCATTCCAATCTAAAATCCTTAGGAGTCTGGTACCGTATGTGTTGGTCCTGCCAACCCTTGCACAGGAGTTTCATGGTTTCTGACGATGAGCTCAACTGGGAATGTCCCAAAGGATGAGATGAAGGGCGACCCACTCCGGGAGGGCCTGTATTTATTTTTGCTGGGCGCTCTGACATATAACCAACCCCGGCCAACTTTAATTTCTTGGCTTCAGGTTTGCCAGCGCATGTAGATATGTCAATTTGAATCCTGAATCTGGGCGATGCAGACCCTGTAGTGTGATATAGTAGGCAGCCAGGCCGAATGGGCAGAGCAGGAGCCATAAGCCCTGCTACAAAAGGTCACCAGGTGGAAAGCTCGGAGATCTAGCAACAGTCAGAACTGGGAGGACAAGTATTGCAGGGTGGGACCTCGCCCCCAGGGTGGCCTTTTCTCCCCTAACGACACTGGTCATGCACTTTAGACCCCCTGACCTTTCATATCGCAGGTCATGGTCAGACCCTCCCCTGACATGTCGCTAGTCATGCCGTAGACCCCCCTAGAGGAGGAACGCGGGTGGAGAAAAGCCTCATAGGACTCCCAGACAAGCCCTTGCACAACCACTCCCATAAGCATGAAGCCGTCAAGACGAGGTTCTGGCCCGCATCAAACAATCTTAGGAACAGAGCCCCAGGTCCGCTGACCGCAGAGTCAGGGTTTTGGTCTAACGAGAGATAATATCTAGGCCTCAGTTGTGTATCAGTCCAGGCCCAGAAAGTATCAAGGCCAGGCAGGGCAACACGGGCCATGGCCATGGACCAGCTGTGGTGACTGAAGCCCCCCTGCCCTGGGGCCGACCAATCAGTGCAGACCACAACCCTCAGGAGACACACCTGGAAAGCTGAAGAATATTCTATTGAGGTCCTCCCCTGAGACCTCCAGAGACAAGCCCTTAAGATAAAGGACCAGCAGGCTTATACTTTCTCTCTCTGCAGAACTTTCCCCTCTGGTCCCCAGGCGCGTTTCCTTTGCCTTTCTGTCTCCTAAGTTTCCTGAGTTCACGCAGCTCACTGCTTCCTCACTCGCTTTTGCGGCCCGTGCCTTTCCAAATAAACTTTTACTTGTATTTGAGTTGCTTGGCTCTGAATTCTTTTCTTAGCTGAACTCAAGAACCAAGATCTGACACCTGGTGCTGTTCCCTGTTACAGTTTCTGTCCTCCAGGAACAGTCTGTTCGGAGACGGTACCTTTATTTCCACCACCTGGAGCTACGTGACATTTCTTTGTGATCTCCCTTTGTCAAGGAGGTATTTTTCCTAGCCCACCTTCCACTGAGTTTGTAGAGATTTTTGAGGGTTCTAGCTAAATTTGGGGGAGGGGCTTGTCCAAGGCCATGAGTTGTACAATTTCAAGTAAAAACATTTACATTTTACTTTTTATGGAAAAGCCATCCCTTGAAACACAGGTACCATTTAGGTGAATAAACACAGGTACTACCACGTGAATGGTGCCTCCAGAAGCTGTACCCCTGGGAGGTCAAAGGGAGATGACTTTCTCTCTCTACTTTGGGGGTGGGGGGGGCTATCACCTATCCCCAGCTGGGTTTCCTTTCTGCTATCAGCCCAATGCCCCAGAGGAGACACACTGCTAGTTTACTACTCTGGTCTCAGCTCTCTTGGACCTTTCAGCCCTGAGGACTTCCGTTCTTTCCCACAAGACCTGCTATGCATTTAAAAGGCTAATATCATTTATTCAGCATTTAGGTGTTTTGGCAAAACGGATTTTCAAAACATTTTGTCCACCCCATTGCTAGAAGCATAACCTCCTCCTCATTTGATCCTTTGTGCCTGTCCAAATCCTTCCTAGCCTTCAACACCGAGCTCGAAAATCACTTTCCACCCACAACACCTTCCCTAATCCCTCTGCGCCTGGAAATAAGCACCCGGGGCCTCAGAGAACACGGAGCCTTTGCACATTGCTTACAGCGCACTATCCTCCACAGGAGGACACTGTAGAAGGGCGTTTTAAGTGGATAAAATCCTTAATGGGGACTCCACTTCACCGTAGCACAGCAGAGGGCTTTGCTCAATAAATATTTTATGAATGAACAAATGGCCCAAACCAAATCCTCTTAAACCCCAAAAAGGTTCATAATTTTTCTGTTTCAGTAAACAGTATTACCATTTTCCCAGATTACCCAGATTCCAAGACTTCAAAGTAACCTCCCATGCTGTCGCTGAGTGATGGCAATTCTCCCTCGTCATTTGCAGCCATTCCTCCTCCAGGTTCTCAAGTCAGAGTTTCAACTCTCTCTGCGGAACTACTTTTTTCCTTCCCCTCCATCCATTCTACATGCACTGCCAAATTAACATTCCTACAACATTCTTCTGTTCAAAAACTTGTTTTTATAAAATTGGACAAACTTGGACAAGCTTCCTTAACTTCCCTGAACCAGTTTTTCCTTTGAAAAATGGCATAATATTATTGGCAAAGGCTGCATCGTCCAACACAGTAATCAGAAGCCACAGGTGGTTATTTAAAATTTCAATTGACTAAAATAAAGTAAAATTTTAAATTTTAGTTCCTTAGTCACGTTAATGACATTTCAAGTACTCAAAAGCCACCCGTGTCTAGTGACTACTGTATAGGACAGTGAAAATAGTACATTTTCATTCTTGTGGAAAAGTTCTATTGGACTGTGCTAGAAGGTTATTACTGGGAGTGCACTGACATAGCACAAGTAAAGAACTTAACACACTGATGACATAAACAGCAGCTTTTAGAATTAACTGTTAAATGTTCTAATACTCGATTCATAGAGGTTTATTGAAGAATTAAATGAGATAATATACGTAGTAGGTGATATGGATAATATACTGTCATAGGGGTCAATAAAAGTTTGTTCCTCTTTTAGAATATAAAAGATGAATTACCTGTTTTCGTATCAGTCTTCAAATCTGCCCAAACTTGCCCCTTCGGAAGATCCTGAAAACCACATACAAAGAAAATCAGAGATTGTTCAGCCCACATGCTTTTATTTTAAACACATACAATTTCAAGTCAACGCACCAATATTGTTCATGGTCAGAACACTATGCTATAGGATTATTAATAGGTTATTTTCCCTATAGAGGTGATACTTGTGTGTTTCATAATGATGTTGTACCATCTAGAAACAAGTATTTTAAGTCTAGGATATCAATTCTCTGATCCTTTTTTATATTAGATACCTTTCACTGACCTCAGAAAGGATAAAAGAAAATACAAAAACAACAAGTTTCCCCTATAGGATAAACAAAAATGCAAAAAAGAATAATGGCCTATTAAGCAACATAAAGCACTATTTTTTGTGATGCAATGGAAAGAATGCAGCTGTGTTATCAGATTTATCTAAGTGCAAATCTTAGCTTTATCATGTTCCACCTGTATAATTTCAGGCAAGTTACTTAGCTTCTCTGAGTTCCAGTATTCTGACTTGTAAAGTAGCAATCTAAAAGGGTTTTTCCTTAGAGTTGAACCCAGTAAACATAAATATAATAATGACAGCTGACATCAATTTTGTACAGCCATAACTAGCCACAAGGATGGGAAATGACAATACTTAATTGTCTGTATACATGAGTCACCTTGGATTAGTCTCTCCTTAGGTTTTGAGAATTCTAGCTGTTTCCACTGACAATTTAGAGAAGCAGGGCTTGAAATGTTGCCCAGTTTGCTGACAACTGAGAAATTTCAGCGGACCAATTAGGGGAGGAAGATGAGTATTGCCCCGTATTTTCACACTAGAAAAATGGAAGCATGGTTGCCAATCAAGCAAAGTAAAAATTTTAATGGTTAAGAATGTAAGAAACCTGTTCAGCCGGTGTGGCTCAGTGGTTGAGTGTCCACCTATGAATCAGGTCACGGTTCGATTCAGTCAGGGCACATGCCCGGGTTTCGGGCTCAGTCCCCAGTGTGGGGTGTGCAGGAGGCAGCCAATCAATGATTTTCTCTCATCATTGGTGTTTCCATCTCTCTCTGTCCCTATTCCTTCCTCTCTGAAATCAATAAAAATGTATTAAAAAAACAAGAATTTAAGAAACCTTTTAAAATCCTCCAAAATATGCAGGAATAACCTTCACATGGCATGATGAGTTTATTAAGAAAATGTTCTTGCATCTCTCACCTATTTTCTCTGTTTTCTTTGACGATCCATGAATCAGAACTGCAGCTACAATTTTCAAATTTCATAAATATTGAAATGCCACTAGTAATAAGATGAATTCCTTATGCTGTCTCCTTTAAGTGGTGACTGAGAAACGATAAAAAAATTCTATTTTTTTAATAAATATATATTTTTTAATCCTCCCAAGGATATTTTTCCATTGATTTTAGAAAGAGTGGGAGAGAGAGGAAAAGACAGAAATATCGACGTGAGAGAAACACATCGATTGGTTGCCTCCTGCACGGGCTCGGCTGGGAAGGAACCTGCAACTGAAGTAAATGCCCTTGACTGGACTCGAACCCAGGACCCTTCCGTCTGCAGGCCAACGCTCCATCCCCTGAGCCAATCTGGATAGGACAAGAAAGAAAATTCTAGGTGTTCCAAGTGAAGACAGAAAGCCCTGGGGGTACACAGAACCATCAGGTGCAAAGCATAATAGAGAATGATTATTTTTCTAAACACTCTAAGTTGGACTTCTGACAAATGCAATGTTCTTGTAATGATTAAATCCTAGATGTCTAGAAGGTCACGCAAGTTTTAAAATAAGTTGGATCAAATATCACAGGTAATTGGGGGAGAATCTGGTGCGCTGCGAATTACAACACTGCACCTGGGAGATCTGGAAAAAAAATCATTTGCGTTTTTCACATGTGCCTTACAGTAAAGCCTGTTGTGGATACAAAGACTTGCCATTTAGCCCTAACTGGTATGGCTCATCGGCCTGCGGACTGAGGGGTCCCAGGTTCGATTCCGGTCAAGAGCATGTACCTGGGTTGAGGGCACATCCCCAGTAAGGGGTGTGCAGGAAGCAGCTGATCCATGTTTCTCTCTCATGGATGTTTCTAACTCTCTGTCCCTCTCTCTTCCTCTCTGTAAAAAAAAAAAATCAATAAAATATGTTAAAAAAAGGACTTGCCATTTACCTGTCAGTATTGGGCTCCCGCCCGCCCCCCTGGATAGGACTGCGGGTAGCAGCCCCGAGCGCCGCGTAAACAGAGCGGGTCACCACAGGTCTCCGCTCCACCCGCTCCCCGCGCCCACACCTCCCCGCCTGGAATCGGAGCCCAGGAGCGACGACGGGAACGCAAATCGACCAGTTTTTCGCGGGACGGGGGCAAAGGTTCCGGTCACCGCAGGGAACAAACGAAACCAGGGAACTGCACGTTTCGACCACGGCCGCCTTCCGGAGCCGCGGGCACTTGGATGCCGACCAGGGCTGGGCTCCGCCTGGGGCCAGGAAAGGATGCGGGAGGCGGAGCTTGGCGCGGCGCGGGGCGGCGGGGACAGGGGAAAGGGAGGGGAGCGGGGAGA